ATTAATAATATAGTTCGAAATATAGTCGTTGTGTGTACATAATCTTAAAATAACTAATATTTGTCGTTGACAGGAGAGATTTGAAGGAGAATGAATCGGTGTGGCAAGATGTTGGACTGACGAAACTGCATTCTGGGAGAGAGGCTTACCAGTTGATGATCCAACTGTTTATTGTTTTACCCAAGTAATCCGAGAAGGATCTCAAAACTTGGGTAATCAAACCAATTACCCAAAGGGATCAATGAAAGATTTTATATATATATATAATTATAATTACAGAACTAATAATAAAATACGGAATAGAGGCAATAATTATCAATCAACAAACCCAAGTTAAAAGGAAACGCTACTAAACTATTTTAAAAAAAAACCAACCCAAAAGGGATAACTTACCACAAAACCCCAAAACTCACGACTCGACATTAAAATAAAGCAATATGAAACAATACAAACAATACCAATCAATATAAAACAGTACCAACCAATACCCATACAAAACTTACCGAGTCTATGTGCCTACATATATATATATATATATATATAGTATTTTCGCTCAAAAAAGAACATTTTTAATGGGAATGGCATGCAGAATGATCAACCAATTATATATAGAAAAACTACAGTTATATGATTACAGCAATAAAAATATGAGATACAGATAAAATATGAATAAAATATTTCTTATGCTACATTAGTTTTTGGTTTTTTTATAAAAAAGGGAATTAGAATGCGGCTAAATAAAAAATGCATGAAAAAACTACCGAAGGGATTTTTGAGCTGACTAAGCAAGAATCATTCGAAGAATTTATTTTTTTGTTGTTGGCTAAGCTACACTCCCGACTGAGAAATTAGGAAGTTCAGGTGGGAGTTTATTAGGTTTATAAAAAAAATGGTTCGTTCAGTGGATAAATTTTCACCCCCTTTTATAATTAAATCAGTCCGTTGTACATTTAAGGGAATAATTTCCTTTTGATTTGAATTTTCACTATGAAAATGAACTAATGACAGACCTGATTAATTCGAATTTCAATTTAATAGCAATTAATACAATTGACACTGTGAAAATACACCAGTAGTAATCAACTTCCAGTGCTTAATCCTGCGAGTTCTTATATTAAATCTGTAGCCTTACCGACTTCGTTTTCCAACTGTGAAAATACACCAGTAGTAATCAACTTCCAGTGCTTAATCCTGCGAGTTCTTATATTAAATCTGTAGCCTTACCGACTTCGTTTTCCAACTGTTCATCCAGTTCTTCTCTTTGTACTCATTTCCTGCCACAGAATTTCATCCTTTCATTGCTGAGACACTCGATTAATTACTTGTTGATTTTGAGCTATTATTTCCAATTCTGTATTAATTCTTTCAATTTTAAACTTGCTTAATATTCCTCCTTTGAATTCGATAACATTTGATTTGGGAATTTCAGATTTGCAAGGAGCTAGTAACAATTTCCCATTAATTCTTTTATCTATTACATCTCTTATAACAACATGGCAGCTAACGTTACTATGTGATAGCCATTCCATTAGTGATAATAAGTTGTTTCGATTTTGACAACTCCGTTGATATACTAAGCTAAATTGTCGTTGGAATCATCATTGCAAGGTGTCAAAAACATATTGAAGCCTCACATTTTCTGGATCGGTTGTTTCCTCTGGATTGACCTCTGTCAAAAGCTCCTCGGTTTTCTTTTCAGTTTTTTAGTTGCGTTGTCGGTGTTACCATTTTCCATATCGACAATAATGTCTCCTTTCATCGGATGGACCAATAAATCCACAATTTCTAGTTGTGATTATTTCATTTTTCTCATCGAATATGAATGAAGCTTGCAGTTTATCTATAATAAGATGGTTTCCATATTTCTGGGCATCGAATCTGCCAATCTTCTGATATAAACACTGATTTAATGCACCTGTTTCATTTCATATATCAGAGCCTGTTTTCCCTTGTGAATTGCACAGTGCTTAACATTATCAGAGACTAACCCTCTTCTGTCCTACAGGAACATTTTTCCTTGAATTAATAAAAAATTTGATGTTGATTGATGTTTGACTCCTAACTATATATAAAAGTGCTGTATCTCATTATTTGTTATCCATTTGTTTGGAGAAATTTTATTTAACGGTATTCCATTTATTCCCTTTTGATTATTTAAGGCTGTGCAAAATTGCGAAATTGTTGCGGAAGTAGTAATTTGGTCAGAAATTACCGATAACGATATTCTAAGAAATGCTTTAGTGCATATTGGTCGAGTGATATTACTGAACTTTATAGCCGACATCTGTATGTGAGTCCGAGTATTCGGTGTAAAGCTTTGGTTCAAGATTTCTTCACAATTTCATTTCTCAGGAATAGTGTACCAGATATCCATTTGCAATTCTTTGTCCTTGTTGCCTATCTTGACATTATGGAAATCATTGTTATAAAGTTTTCATTATAGAATTTGATTTGCTTCGTATTTCTGTTGGACTTCTTCACTGTCTTGTAGCACTTCTAGTTCGTCATGCAATGGGTTCCTCCTGTTCACTTCTAGGAGATTTATATTCTATTTGCTTTACTTTGGTTGATTTATAGAGTTCTCCAACGTTACCGTTTGATCCTTCGTGTTTTCTTCGTATTTCCGATTTCCGATTTCCGATGGATATAACATGTTTATAGGTCAATTTATTAATCTTCCGCGTGGTAATGTTAATTCTATTACCTTATTGTCATGCTCTTTATTGAGTTTCTTTATTTTGACTAATTTCCATGTGCCGCGGGGAGCATTTGATTCGTTTGCTATTACAATTTCTCCTTCATTAGGAGCTCTAGTCCCTACACTTCTAGGAGATTTATGTTGTATTTGCGTACGTTTCCTTAAACTAGTAAAGTACTCCTCCTTCCTTATTTTCCCAAAATATATCTAGAGTTTTTGTTGTACTTACCCAGTATTTAATAAGCTTCTCTTGAGTGTTTAACTTGTGGAAGGTATCTCGATCATCGGTATTATTAGTAGGTATTTTTAGACATACGTCTGGTATAATAAATTCTATAGGTCTTAAGATTGTGGAATCGTCAAAGTTTGCATAAGTTAGTGGACGAGCATTAAGTATACTTTCTATTTCCACTATTAAGGGCATAAATTCCTTTTCTTTTAGCAGTTTCCTGCCTATAACCTTTCTTAATATTCTTTTCGTTTCTATTCGTTAGGCCGATTATCCGTTCGTAAACGCCTCCAGGGCACCTAAGGATTTATATTTCTCCATTTTATTCCATGTCTAGCTAGGTATTCGGTTGCGTTTTTCGTTCTATTAAGGTATAGAGAACTGACTGAAATTGACTCGCATTGTCATTAAAATTATCGCTGGACAGCCGCGTCGTGAGACGAATCTTTTGAAAACACTCAAGAAACTTTCTGCAGAAAAACTATCTAATTCTAAATGCATTGATCTAGTAAAACATATAAATGAATATATAAATATAAATAAAGCAACCCATCTTTTAGTAACTCTTATTTTAATGGAAACAGGGCCTAAATAATCCAAACCAACTTTTGCAAGTGTTCGCGATCTTACTCGAAATGCTCGATAATTAGGCATAGTTGGCAATTTAAATGGTTTTCCTTCCATCGTTCATATCCTATGTATTTTATTCAAAATCTTTTAACTTCTGTTCTTCCTTTTGGCATCCAAAACCTTTTAAACTTGAGGTCGTATGGGCCGTTCTAGCACGAAACATTTTTTCGTATTGTTGTTGTATGAAGTCTTCGGTTATGCGATTTTCTCTAGGAAGATATATGGGATGCAATTCTTGTTCTTCTAATTCTGAATTTTCTAGACCACCTTTAGATTTCCATATTCCTTCGTTGTATAGATTCCATTTAATTATTTCTTCTTCCTTTCTTAGTCAATATTTAATAAATATTCAATATTTAATAATATTAAATTTAATATTTAATATTACATATTTAATATTACTTAATATTATATATAGTAAATTTAATATTACATATTAAATTTACTATATATATTAATATATATTAAATTAATATTTAATAACAAACTGCACAGCACATATTCCTATGAGTTCGGCTAATAATTCTAATCCTAGAATAATCACATTTTTGATGGGAGCAATTCTCGACTTGACAAAAACCAAGGAAGCTTTCTTATCTTGAATAATGTATACCGAAGAACAGCATAAGCAACTGAGAAAGCAGCTGAGAAGACATGAATTCTTGTAAATTGTGATGGGACAATTGCGACGCGTGGTATTTCTTTCACTTATTGGCCATCCGCATATTTTATCCGCAAAATCTTTCCATATTCTCTGGTCCTTCATACTTATTGATTAATCCCAACTTACTTTCTTTTTCCAAAGATTTTGAAGAAACAGTTTGATTGGGGTTATACTTGGAATTAGGAATCCTAAGGGATCATATTGAGAAGCTAAAAAGTGCAATATCATTCTTTTTGTTGGCTCTTGACCATTTCAAGGTTTTAAGGTTATTTGAATAATATCCCTATTAGGATTCCATGTAAAGAATCTTTTTGAACTCATTTGTTTCTACTCGATCATTTTCAGAATCTTGAATTAAATTCTTTGTCGCTTGATAAGAATAAGAATTATAAGAATTAAGAATTGTCGCTTAATAATGTTGTCGACATAGAGATTCTTTCTGATCTCATTGGTGAGCTCATTACCATAATTTTCCAAGTGGTGTTAACCATAGCCGATAACAAAAATGGTGAAGATATAACTCCGAATGGGACACGGTGAAACCGATAATGTTCAATATTATTTTCAGTTGCCTGTCCCCGTATATCCTTTAACCAAAGAAATCGTGTGCAGCATTTCTTTCCAATGCTAATAACTCCAATTATAAAAAGCCACTATTACGGATTCTATCATTCGGAAACGAAGTACTCCTACTAAATCGGGAAGAGTTATGGGTCCCCAGCATTATAAATCGTTTAAGCTCTTTTTCCCCCTTTGGTGTGAGGATGCATCATAAACGATTTTAAATTTGGCTGTTGCCTTACTTCATGATGAGGAATATAATGAATAATACCAACCTGGTCCATTTCTGGATATACCATCTCTGAATATATAATGTCGGATTGCAACTGATTGCGAATCGTTTCGTCGTATTATTATAGAAGTAAGCGTTCATTGTTTTGATTGTTCCCACGGCCTTGAGCAACTTGATATCTGCCATTTATTTGGTGATATTTTCCTTGAACATTTCTAAATTGCAACTTCCAGAATCGATCAACCTCTTAGCAAAAAGCGATGGTTGAGGGTTTTTATTGCCGAAATCCACGAATTTCACTTGCTCGCAATCATATCTTCTAGATTTAAGCTCTTTGCTAGTTTCTTCGATATACAAGTTGCTTGAGCACCGCCTGTCAGATAAAACTACGACTTTATTTGAAATCTCTGGTATATCTTCTCCGAGTTGGTTTCCTCTTTGATTGGACCGACTGACTGAGCTCGATCGTTATATCTAATGTAGCATAATGCGGTATTATGACGACCTTTGCAATGGAAACAAACACGTTTTCTTTTTTTGCAATTGATTGCCATATGTTGTGGTTAAAGGTTATTCGGACAAGCGTTGTTTTCCTTTAGTCGTTGCATTCCTTGTTCATTCATTTGCATGTTCTACATTTTCATTCTTTGTTCTAGACTAGAATAAGTTTGGCATTCAATGATTCTTATTGCAAAAAATACAAGGTCTTTGAGTTTTAACCTTCTTCGTTTCTTGTTTTGCAGCTGTGTATTTGCGGAGTAGTTATAATTAGTGTTGAAGTTTCTTCTGGAAAATATCGTGGTTCAATTTTACCTTTAGCTACTTTTTGCTGCCTCGTGATTGGCTTCTTGTAACTTCATTTTTTTGAATCAATTTCGCTAAGAATTATCTTAGTTTAGCCACTGACCACATTTCTTGTTCCTCTCGTTGTTGATATATTCTATCCAGAATCCAGACTGGCAGTTTATTTTCAATGATAACTTCTACTGGATTATTCAAGGTTTTCGCCCATTGCTTCAAGTTGTCGAAGTATTCTTTCGAAAGTTTCGGCTGTTAATTTCCATTCTCGATTATCCATCTTGATGGAATGTAACTCATAGAGCGATTTTTTAATGATGTGTAATTGCCCAAATTTTTCAATAAGGTTCCTTCGTATCACATCATAATTTTCTGGGGTTACATCATAACCTTTGATGGCCAACAGGGCATCTCCCTTTAGACATGCAATTAAATAATTCAATTTTTGGATGTTTGGTATGCCTTATAAATGGACTGCAACTTCAAAGCTATTCCAGAATCCTCTTCTTCATAGTTTTGGATTTCCACGGAAGGTAGGCAGTGGTGAATGGAGTAAGTTTACTGTTGGATAACAAGTTATTTGAGTTGGTTGCCCATTTATTTCACCTTGTTTAAGGAGTTGGAGCATTAATTCTGAGTCATTCATATATAGTTAAGGTTATGACTTGCCTATCTTCGTTTATTAAGTATAAAATACTCATTTTATCATTACCATTTACCATTTGGGCGTATTTATCCTCCTCTTGTTGTTTCTTTGTTGTTAGAATTTACTGAATGTGTTGGATTCAATTATTATTAATGGTTTTGATCGTGCCAACATGCACCTTGAGACGCATTATTTTTTCTTCAATTAATCTGTTGCGAGCCTCATTGGCGGGTTTTTTCTCTGGTCAGCATTTGATCCAGCAACGTCAGATCCATTCCTCTGACTTCCTTGAGAAGAGCCTCCAGTTTCTCCTTTACCGGTTGTGCGCTGAGAATTATAGTTACGGATATGTTCCTGGCTCCTAGCACCAATAAATGTCGTTGAGAGGAGAGATTTAAGGGAGAATGAATCGATGGTGTGGTTAGAATAAGAGTTTGGACTGATGAAACTGCACTCCGCGGGAGATACGGTTTAGTAATTGATTATTCAACTGTTTATTGTCTTAACCAAGCAATCAGAGAAGGATTTCAAAATTTGGGTAATTAAAATAATTATAACGCAAGTTAAAAACAACAGATGAAAGATTTTATGTATATATATATATATATATATATATATAATTATACAACTAATAAAAAAATAGGAATAAAGGCAGTAATTGTCAATCAACAAACCCAAGTTAAAAGAAAATGCTACTAAATTATTTTAAAGAAAAACCAAGCCAAAAGGGATAATCTACCACAAAACCCCAAAACTCACGACTCGACATCAAAGCAATAATACAAAACAATACAAACAATACTAACCAATACCCATACAAAACTTACCGAGTCTATGTGCCTACATATATATATATATAGTATTTTCGCTTACAAAAAAAAGAGCATTTTTAATGGGAATGGCATACACAATGATTAACCAATTATAAATAGAAAAACTACAGTTATCTTATTGTAACAATAAAAATACGAGATACGTATAGATAAAATATTTTTCATGCTACATTATTTTTTTTTGGTACATAAAAAAGAGGATTATAATGTGCCTAAATAAAAAACGCATGAAAAAATTACTGAAGGGATTTTTGATTAGCGAGCTAACTAAGCAAGAATTATTCGAAGAATTTATCTTTTGTTGTCCGCTATTTGCGACAACATTTGCAAATTAATAAACGAATTAGTAAAACAGATAAAAGTAAGTAAGTCTTTAAATTTAATTATTAGTTCGGTTTTATGTTATTTGCTTGATTATGTTATGTTATTTCGAAAAAATCACCTTTGAAATTCAATTACGCCTTTTTCTCTCATTTGTTAATAACATTATTACTTAGGGAATCACAAAATAATGCTGAAATTATTTCTGCTTAATTATATAATAAAACTGGCAACTTCTCCAACAAATAGACAATTTCAGTAAAGCATATTTTAATCACAAATTCAACCAACAGCTTATCGTCAAACGTTTGCTCATTTATTTATCTGTTTTTCCACCAAAATTGAAGCAATTTGCTTAAATACATAGCATTTAATAGAAAATCTGATTTGGGAACATCGTGCAAAAAATCAAGCAGTTGCTATTTCGCCATCAGCGATGCGAAAATTCAAAGTTCGATCAGCTGAAATTCAATTTTTTATCAAAGCATGTGTTCGTATATTGTGACATTAACCTATTTAATGTGCGGTGCACTTCTTCCAACAGCAATAATAGATTTTACTATTCCACATTTCATCACCAGAAGCATTAATTTTTAAGAGAATTAAGAGAAAAAGAGAATTATCAGCGATGCTTAGTCCGTTTAAAAATAAATTTGACAGAATTATTCGTGAAATCGTCTAAAGTTGTTATGTCAATCTTCTGATATGATAATTTTTTCTCTTCTTAATTGGTTCTTCATTATTATTTATTGTTTTTAAACTATATCGTTTTTACGTTTTTGTTTGATGCTACTTAGAAGCAAAAGGCATTCCTCCGTCCTTCTTAAATTAATCCTTCACAAATGAATAAAAGCATTTCACAAAAAAAATCGATAAAAATTCTAAGCTTCTTTAAAAATGAAACAAAAGGAAGAAAACAATCTGCTTCTGCTCTTAGGATAATATATAAGTCAGTAATACGCTGAAAAATTTTATATCATCATTTTGTGAGCGGTCGAACTATTCGAACTTCGAACGTTCTATTGAAATAAAAGGAAATAAAAATAATTGATGATTATTACAACTGTTCATTTTGGATACCTCAAACGATAAGCTTTTTTTTCAAGTTTTCTTCTTAAGTTTAATTTTTAATTTTTTAATTTTTTTTGATTTTTCTACTTTATCCTTCTCTCCGACATGAGTAAATATGCCATATCAAAGTCCGGAAGACTGCTGGGGACTCATTTGTAACTATGTTTCCAAATGACTCTATGGTGAAAAGATTTGATTTTCTTGGTACTGCACCCTCATCTTCTAACGCGTATGCGTATGATATTTCTAGCCCAGTGGAACATGCGATAAGTATACAGTCCAGGCATAAAATAATCCCAAGGCTAAATAATAAAATGTGCTCGCGAGCCACAGTAATTTCTCGAAATCTATTAAGAAAAACGGACCTCTGTACATTCGGCGAGGTGTTAGCCGTAACAGCGTGGAACATCAAAAAACTTATGGACGTCACAAGCCAAACGATATTCTGTTACTAAACACTCTTTCTAAATGTACACTCATTCGTGCGGATTTTGCTTGTCGGAGGTCTTCATTATTTGGGATCTCGAGTAATCACTAAACTTAGTTTCGAGCAGAGGTATTAGCTATATCGCTTGGGTACTTTGGAAAACTCGTGGCGAAATGGCGTAGCGATTGTCTGAAAAGGCTCATTTTGCTTTGATTGAAGGGAAACCGTTAAGCGACCGTATGATTATGCCTGCTTTAAAAGTAAGTTCTGCAATATCTCGGTCATCAGTGTATATGCGGTGTCAGATGTCAGAATGTCTGCAAATAGCCGTGATAAAGATAAGTTCTATGCAGAACTTCAATTGCTAACAAAATCAGAAACATAACATGGTCATAATCGAGGGAGGCTGGAATACATGGGTGGGTCATAATACTGCTGCAATGACCTCGACAACTGGCAAATATGGTATCGGAGACCAGTGCGCCAATGGACAACGCCTTCTTCATAATGCTGAAGAGCATGAACTTTTTGTGACTAAAACTTGTTTCCGGCATCATAGAAAACATCTAGTCACGTGGAAGCCTCCAGATAACCAAACTCCAACCAGTTTGATTATGTCTGAGGCAGATAGTCGCCACTGCAAGGATTCCGTACTAGATGGTCGTTCCAGTCGCGGCGCTGAAATTTCATCGATCTGACCATGTTATGGTTCGAGCAGCATAAAATTGTCAATTCGCAAGAAACAGCCTAAGATCTTTGAACTATCTAAAACTAAAAGATTCAGGAAAAATGAGTGACATTTCAAACTGAATTACTGAAGCACCTCAATGGTATAAATATCAATGACATTCCTGGAACTGCAGAGGAATGCTGGCCTCCAACTAAAGGAATGTCTCCGAAAGTTAACCATGCTAAGACACACACCAGTAGGAAGTGTGCTAGTTGGGTGGTAATTGTAAAACTGTCTGAAAAGGCTGCCAAAGCACAAATGCCATATCCTAACTACCGGATGCTTCGAAGAATTGCAACAACAGCATCACGGCGGAATTACTTTTGGAACAACATAGCCTTAAGAATGGAGATGGCGGCTCCATTAGGCTAAAATAGGAAACTATTCCACTTTCTTCATTAAGCAACTATAAATCGGAGAGCGATCAGTGAAATGGTACGGGATAGTTATGGTGTACCTGTTAAGAGTAATAAAGATCGTCTCGTAAAACAGAAAGAACTCTTTGAGATCAAACTTAATAATGATGCGCCATCTATTGCTCTGAACATAGCTGAATTGCTCGCCAATATTCTTGCCTGCGAACCGCCAGAAAAATAGGAAACAATCCCTGTAATTCAGAAACTTATGGCCCATAAAACTCCAGCAGAAGAGTCCTGGTTGAATTCTTTAAATGTTGCCCATCTTCCTTCATAACGCACCATCAACAAATGGTTTGAAAGAAAGAAATACAGATGTCTGAAGCTCCCAATTCCCAATAACAGGACATATTGCGACAGTTATAAAAGAAGTCTCAGCGAGAACTTTTTCTTTTACTCAGTAGACTTATGGCAGCGCAGTACAGCAGGATGCGCCCTAAGCTGGAGTTAGATTTTGCTGATATTAAGAAAGATATTGGAACATTACTTCAAATATTTACAACATCTCGGTACGTGATTCATCAACTTCGCAGCTGCCTTCGATTCAATTGATAGAACGGCGCTTTGGAGGATAACAGAATGCAACGGTGTACTAGAGAAGATCATTCGACTCACAAAGGTATTTTACCAGCATATGTCGGTGCAAATATGTGTATATATGGGAAAACAAATTCCTTTAAAAAAGGACCGTTGTCCATCAAGGCTCCCTGCAATATTCACTCTCTACGCGATAGATTAGATAATGGACATTTCTTGTTGGCACACAAGAGATATACAAATCAGTCCAGAGCATCATATCAGATGTTGAATACTCCGACGATGCAGTTCTTTTTGTTGATAGTTATGACAAACAATACTAAATAAAAACTCAAATACAAGAATCGGACTCAGGATCAATATAGGTAAAACGAAAATCTTTTCGTTCTACATATAAGAAGCTGATAAAAAACCTCTTTTTATAAACCGATTGAGTAAGTACCCGATTTTAAATACCTTGGGTTCACTCTAATTACCGAATGACCAAGCAAAAGACAAAATTGTAATGGCATTGTAATGTAACGGATAATGGCATCTAGAAACTTTTTCCGGTTGACGAAACCTTTATGGAGCCGTCGTGGAATTACCATTAAAACAAAAGTCCACATCTATATATAGCCGTGATTCGTTCGATCTTGCTATATGGCCGTGAGAAATAGCCAGTGAGAGTGAAGGATATTAAAAAAGTTATCCGCCTTTGACCACTCATGTCTAAAGTACATTTTACAGGTTAAAGAATGGATAAAATCTCATACGACTGCATCCACCTTCGTTCAGATATTACTTGCATTAACAGTACCATCATAGAACGTCGTTTTCGCTGGCTGTGGCATGTTCTTCATTGCTTCACCACAAGAGATATAATATTGACATAGTTAAACCCTGTGATGAATGGCGTCAAAAACAAGGTGGACCAATCAAGACCTAGACTGATGTAATATAGGAGGATTAGCAATATATGCTCTTAAACGAAGGAAAAAAAAATGGCTTCTATTACTATGGACAATGGCATCAGATCGCGCAGCTTGGAAACGACTTACTCTTGTAGCCAGTGAAGCCAGCCTAACCAGTAATAGTGAAAGCTGTTAAAAGAAAAAGAAGAACTCTGAGTACAATTCTCACTCTAGTCGTTGACAAGCTGTTTTAGCATTATTTGCATTTCTTCATAACTATCGTCAAAAAGGATCAGCGTATTCAAGATCTGTAATACTATGTTCTGGACTGGACCGCTTGAGTGCCGACAAGCAACATTATCCAATCTTTCGTATAGTTGAATACTGTAGAACGCAGCCTTGACGGACACTAGTTCTTATTTCGAAAAAAAGGTAAGCTACCCATATAGAGAGATCTGCGTTGACGCAAGCTGGTAAAATGCCTTTATGAGTCGAACGATCTTTTATGGAACACATTTCATCACTTTCCATAGAATTGATCTGAATCGAATTATTAACTGAATCGCACGCAGTTGCAAAAATCGATGAAACAAATGACGGTGGACTGCCGATATTAGCAATTTTTCAACCCTTCTTAGCATGAATATTTGGTCAGCATTTCTGCGCCCTGGTTGAATTTAGTTTGGTTAGGCTCGCTAAAAAAGATTGTAAAATAGATTCAATGTGTGAAATGAGGTGAAATATTTAATCTATTGAAGACTTCCCAGCTGTATTATAATTAAGCTTTTCACGAATTTGCTAAAGGAAATAAAAATATTTCTATATTTTAGGAAAAAAATTTTTCGTCTAAGAAACTTAATACCCATAATAATCTTCCAGAATTTGATGAAACGGATCATTTCTTTCAAAAATGAAAAAATCATTTTCTACTTAAAAATGATCAATAAAATAATGACATTTTAACAGTGCGATTCGATTTTCGAGTGAGTGTAACAAATTATTTACATTTTTTCGAATTACCTGCAAAAATCTCGGCTACAAAAAACGACCGCTAAAAAATAAATGATTTTTAAAAATAAGATAATAACTTTCGATAGAGAAAAAATCGCTGGAACTTAAAGAAGAACTAAACGGATTTAATAAATAATAAAATCCTAGCTTCTAACAATTGTTTGATGGTCCCATAAATCAAACTAATGAGAGGTGCAACATCAATAAGAAATAAGAAAGTTATTGGCGAATTTAATTTCCATTCATACATCATTAAATAAGAAATTCATCGGTGTTTGTGGAAGAGAAAAAATTAGAAGGGACAAAGATAATTAAACTTATCAAAATGCAATTTAAGATGTGAGGTAAAAAATAATTCATAAATGAATTGCTCTTATTTCTGTGCAAACGAAGAACATATTTCATCAGAATTGATGACGACCCGCTTTTACTTCTATCTCCAAGAGATTCCCGCATAAAAATTTGCCGAGTCTGACAGGCCAGTGAGGAGATTTTAATCGGAAGTAATGAGGGCTCTTAGAAAAAAAAGAAATTTATAGACAATAGTTAACGCAAAAGATCATTTCAGTGCCCTTCTTTTTCTAATAACAGTGAATTCTGGCTTGATTTGCTATCCTAAACTGGGATTTTAGAAATCTTTACCACTTAGCCACTTGGTTATAAATAAATAAAAATTTTGATGGTACCACCTGGATTTTCAAACGATAGTATATGTTCGTTTGAAATATAAATTTTGATAAACTGTTCGCATGGCAATCATACTGCTTCAATTTTATTTCATTTCAATGGCTAATATTGCTAATGGAATTTATTCCATCTCTAAAAATATACTTAGCTCTTACATAAATTCTCTTTTTCCTTTGTTAACGATTTATAAATTTTTTTAAAATGGATAAATGGATAAAAAGAGAAAAATAAGAAAATAAAAAAAAATTTGAAAAAAATAAAATTTATAAAGTTATAAAAGTTATGAAGTTATAAGTTATTTATAATTTATAAATTTATAAGCAAATGAAAAGTTACAAAACTTAAGTTAATTAATTAATCCTCATCGCTAGAAAAAGGACACATATATCTTTTAAAATCAACCAATTCTTGCAAGAATAGCCCTGCAATATTGCGCCATTCATGGAAAGCAAAATTAACTACGATTTCAGTTATAAAAGCGAGCGATGATAAAAACTTAAGTGCTTAGAAGAAAATATAATCTTGGCTAATCAACCTTTAGGCTGAAAACACAATTTCAGCAATAATAAATTTCAGTCAAAAGTATTAAGCCAAAAATATCATAAATCTTGCAAAGTTGATAAAATTTAATCGTGCACAGACTGGGTGAGAGTATAAAAGGTGACCCGTAACGCTTCGCCAAAAGTTATTTGCTTGAGGAGTAGAAGTGCCAGCTCAAAATCGCAGGTATACTCTCGTCAATAGTCAAGAACAGAATCTACGCCATTTACCCCTTCCATCTCTTCATCCATTAAATAAACTACAAAACAAATGAATTTAAGTTGCTCCTTAAGGACACAATTAATAGGTTGGGTATTTTATTTAACGAAACCAATTTAGTGATTCATGAGATTTGCAAGAAATGTTCACTATTTCGTGCCATCTCCAATTTAGCATTAAACTGAGCATTAATAAACTGGCAAACTTTGCCGCAAATCGCATAAGCACATTCAAGTTAAATTAAAATAAGCAAATACCATTAATTTTTCGCCGAATTTGTTTTAATTTAAGAGAATAGCGCAAATCTTGCGTTGGACAATATTCTTCGATTATCCAGTCGTGATTGTTTCGCCAACATTGAATAAGATAGCCGATAAGGCTTATATCTATCTGCAAATCTTACACCTTAAATTATTAAAGCAATTAGCATATAAAGTTTAAATTTTGTGAGGCAGATATTCTATTCAATTCTTATTCAATTCCACATAAACAGCGAATTATTCGAAAAGCGTAAAATTCACGCAGTTTTTGTAATTCACTTGGCGTTAGCAATTTGTTATGAAAAATTACTATACTCACAATAATTCGCGATAAATGTTGCATTAATTTTTCGATAAGAAAGGAAATTTTTAGTTATTGTTATATGCACGAAGGTGATTTCATTAATTTATTTTCAATTTATTTCTATTTAAGAAATCAAGGAAGAAACAATAATTGCCACAAAATTTCGGTTATATAAAGCATTTAGACAAATCAATAAAGCATTTAGCAATGGTCATAGAGATTTGCAGGAAGAAGCTTAGCAGTAAAAATTATAAAAGCTATAAAATACTACGATTTTTTGAAGATTACATACACGGATTATATTATGTATACTAGTATACATTATATTTTTCAATATAATCAGTAAATAATCACTCAACCCTGTTAATTAAACAATTCCCTTTAGTCAATGCATCATTTGCTATTATAGTTTTACAGCATTTATGTGGAAATATTAAAAAACTACAAATATATAATTTTGCAAAAGATTTGCAGACGATAGGAAGAGTATCAAAGATTTAGGATAAGATTTAAGACATCTCACCTTAAAATGTATATACATAGCCACAAATAGCCCAAGAAAGAATATAATAGCAGCAGTGAGTGTTGTTGAGCTTAGAATACTTTGCCAATCTTTACTAACACTTGATCTGAAGATTTAATTAAGTGATATTAATTAATAATTGAAAGATATGGTTAGATTTAAAAAACCATACTTTTATCACTTTATCAATTTTTATGTTATTGTTTATTCAAATATTCTATAGTCTTAAGAATTTGCCTATTGCATGTGGTTTTCATTGACTATAAAATTTTATTTCAACAGATTCTTAGATTAAAACTCAAAATGTTCTATTGCAATTACCACTCTCTTTACTGACTTTAAAAAATTAGCTCTCTTTTCTTGAAAAAAATCTTTTAGTACCAAAATTTTGTTTACAATATTATAAAAAACACTTTTTATTGCTACCAATAATGCCAAATTTGCATTCAAAATAAAAACATAAAAATGACACAACGGCTGACACAACCATCATTGATACGGCCAAAGCAAAGACCAATAAATAACCGAGGTTCCGAGGAGGAATTGGCGGCAATTTAAGTTTACGCCACTGAAATATCTTCCACGAGGTAAATTAATGAAAATTTTTTTCAGAGAATATAATTTTACATTTTCCCGTTCCAAAAAATAAAATTTCATAATGTATCCATAAAATTTGCTACATCGAAAAAAATTGACAATTGATTTGAATAAATTATTTGAATAAGTGTTAAAAAAAAAGTGAATAGAACCTTGAATAAGCGACGCCTGTGGTATCTATAAAGACATAATTCACAGATGGCTGGACGTTTTAATTTTCGAGAGCAAATTGTCAACCAGTGCTAAAAAAAAGAATGGATTACTTAAAGTGCATAAATATAACTCCATATTCATACACTTTTTTGCAAGCCATCAATAAGGAAAAAGTGAAAAAAATTTAATGATCAGATCAAATGAAATTAGACTTAGAAATGCCTCATTTAGCCAGCAAAGCACTACCAAGTTTATCCGATTAAAATGAGGACAAACCAGTAGGCACGACATATGAACATATTTGAGTGATCCCGAACATCTACATGGCGATATTAAGTTATCATTTAATGATGATGGACAGTGGCATATACGACACAAACGTTCATGTGAGCTTCCTTTACAGCAACTCACTGTATACGATTGCAACGAATCGAGCGACTTTGGATGCGATACCTTAAATTAGTACATCTATGTACCTAATTTTGGGCCCAAAAAAAACATTACTTTAATAATATTTGCAATAAATGACGTCCATAAAAATTCATCGGTTCAAAAACATGAAACGAATTGACTTAAACGCCATAAATGATGTAAAGCGGGATAGAAGGACCAATCGAGTAAATTGAATTTGATTCATTATTTATTCCCTTGCTGGCACTTGCCTCGTTATAATAATGCGATCCACAGCTTCCATCAGCCTAGCAACTTACTTTATCACATATATAAGATTACAACAATTCTCGTTTAGCCCAGTTCTCCTCGATAAGATAATAGGTGGTTAAAGATTGGAAAAGAATATTACTTACCAGGCTTTCTGCTCAGTTTTCAGCTCATCTCAGTTTTCTCAAAATTATGTAATAATTCAAACCAAAATAGTGATAATATTGAAAACTGATAAAATGTTTAAATTAAACTCACAAATTTATTGCTTTTGTAGAAGTTCTCACCATCATTATTATCATTAGTAATAGGTCCGCCTGTAATACAAGTTTCACATAGAGCACCTAGATCAGAATATGTATGAGGAACCCAATTTTCAATATCCTGTGGTGTTTTAAGTAAGCCATTTTTGTTTTCTTGAGAAGAATGCGTTATAGAAATTTTGGCATCCGAGGGGAAATTGTGTTCTATTTCTGGGTTTGGATTCGAGAACAGCAATGGTTGCCTCTCACATTTTATATCTGAAAATTTCACATAATTTCTCATAGGTAAAACTTTTCATCTCGAAGAAAATTTGCCTCGAACTAATTGTAACTGAATCACTAAAAATTTTTGCGGAAACACGTTACCTCGGCCGAAGAATCGCGAATGTGTTGCGCAGGGAGTAAAAGATGTACTATAAGTGCGTTTCTTGATTAAGCCCTTTGAAATTCCTTCTTTATCAAATAATTCTGGAAGGATCTTTATAGATTCAAAGCAGGTTGGATCTGAATTAATTTGACCAAAAAAGCAATGCTTGCAGTGTTTTCACCGGGTTCGATCCAGCATATAAATACCAAAATGCATACTTTTTTTGAGATTTGCAATAGCTTTGTTGCGTAAAGCTATGTTCTCGTATATTATATTAATCTAATAATCTTTGTCTTAATCAAAATTTATCCAAGTTTATTCTTTAATTCTTTGAACTTTCAACATTGATCAAATCCTCCACTCTCCTCTTCTGTCTTCCATCAAATCATGAGAAATTCATATTTATCGGAATAACGAGCACAGATATGAAAAAAAAATATCGCAGTGTTAACCTTGGATGTAATAAATGTCTGGAGAAGTTTGATGTTGGGTTTCGAATAATGTGGAAAGTATTCCAGCTAACTGAAAAAAGTAGACTTTTTCCTCGGTGTGTGCTTAGATTTTGCGAGAAATTCAATTGGATTCGAAACTGCCCATACGAAATTATTTGCCAGATGGACTCCGTCTGTTTACTACTTTTAAACTACTTTTGTATATTATATTCTTCTTCTTCTTAAGACTCCTCACCATTACTGGTTAAACTCGCTCCACTGGCTTGTCGCATTGAGCAATGTGCCAGGGAGTCCCTTGGCGATAGAAGTACAGGTGTCGCCAGCCGGGATTTTTGTACAGGTTTGCTCCTGTGTGGAATCGAACCGCAGCTTCGGCTGCTCCAAATTGAGCAACAACCCACTGAGCTATCTTATCCTCCCCTGAATATTATATTAGATATATAATAAACAATTTATTACTTTTTGCGTGAACGTATTTGTCGAAAAATAATGCGATGAAATTGCGTTATCCGATATCGAAATGCCTCGTTGCTGAAACAAAGATAAACATTTGAACTTCAAATTTGTTTGCAAAGAAAACAGAAATATATATTTTAAAAAAAACTGAAAATAAAGAAATAAAATATGAATGAATATGAATGAATGTGAAGTGAAAAACGACATTTATTAACGACATTTGATGAAAAATAATCAAGACGGGGTAAAAATCAGGACAACCTATAAAGCAAAACTGTGGACGGAGGATGAAACACTGGTTTTCAACCTTCTCTGTCTGATAGTTCGATTCGCTCAGCTCTGTGGTCCGCTTCACTCAGAAAACTCCATTTTTTTACTGAAGGGCAAATAAGGAATGAATAATTGAGGACTTAAAAATGATCGGAAATATAAAATAAAGATAAAGGGTGATGAAGTAGTTTTTTCAAATCAATAAATATAGTTTTATTCCTTGAGAAAATCTTCAAGATAAAGAACAAAAGATAAAGCAATCTTTATTTCAGCTAAAATCTTATCATTTAGCAAACGATCGAGTGCCAAAGTCGACTGATGAGCTGATGAGATTCGAGCGAAATCGGCCACGATAAAGCATCTTCAACTCGAGCATGCTCGTTCTTTTTTTTAAAGAACACTCAATATTACTAATTAGACTCGCTCTGTCTACTGGCTTGTTGGACTGGACAAATATGCCAGTAAGTTCCTTGGCGAAAAAAATGCATGTGAACTCCTGAGTATGCTCAATATTGCCGAGTGTTGCCGGTGCTACCAAAGCAAGTAAAATTTGCAAAAGTTACTTACTAAATATTCAAAATTTATACAATTCAAAGAAGATTATAAAATAAAACTTATAATAAATTGGGGAAAAATCATAAAATTTTATGAACTGCATCCTAAGTTTCGAAATGTCACATTAAGTTTTATAAAATAAAAATTAAGAAGAAAAATTTTTGGTAATAAATTCCAAAAATATCAATTTATTTATTTCTTTATTTATTTATTTATTTCTTGACTCTGTCTATGCCTTGAAGTGCCCTAATAAAGAAATTGTCACAAAATTACTGAAAGATATTCTGATAAGACATATTGCATTTTATAGTAAATGTTATATCATGGTCATCAAATATTCAAATATTATGGCATCGCCATACTTCATAAAAACTTACAAAAAATTTTGGCCGGTGTATGCCAAGTTGAATGCCACAGTCTTCGATTCCATCGATGACAACGCTGGCTAAAATCATACAGTGAATCAAGTGAGATGAAAAGTAACGCATTTTAGCTAAAGGCCATTCATAAGATTATTGTAAAATAAAATTTATTCTTAAAAACTGTAAAATGAAATAGATCATCTAATAAATCTAATAACTGATAAGGCAAAGAAAATTATAACAGAAATCTTTTCCTTAAAAAATTTCCTATGAAAAGTGGCCAAGAAGAATGTAATAAAAAGTTATAATAAAATTTTTAAACATACGATAAGGTTGAGCACCGTTGCGATAGATTTCATCATTTTCTGCGACAAGCACTTTTTTCTTGTTCTAAAGATTTTTTATGAGACGAAAATTTGGAGGGGATTCCATCACTATTGTATTAGAAGTTTTTCACTGCTTTTGAATTGATCTCTATGGAATTAAAAATATGTTCAAACGACAATATTTCATGACTTATGGGAAAAAAGAATGGAAACCTTCGTTTCAGCCAAAATCGCTTCACCTTCATCATCACATTTAAGCATCTGAAAGCATACATAGTTTAACCTATGAACTGCAAAAGCAAAGCATAAAACGACAACGAAAATTCCAATGAAAGAATCTAAAGCTAACGGTAATCGCTCACTTAGTTTCATCACTGAAATCTAATAGAATCTAATCGAAACGTTGCAAAATGTTTTCGAATAAATAAAAAATAAGTCGTCAAATCTCTATCAATCTATTTCTGATTTTGCCACAGTTATTTACACTTTTTGATAATCAATGAGTTTGAATTTCCACTGCTGTTAACTGACCTATCAGCAGGGCGAAATAGAAAGAAGCCTTTAACCAGAAAAAATTGCTCATTTTATAAATCCGAGTTCCGCAGACTACAACAATGGAATATCCTTTGGTAAAAATAATAAACCAGGAAGATATTAAGAAGGTATCACCTTTCGTCGTTCAGGTATCACTATTTTACATAATGACGAGTGGATATAATCTTACAAGAATGCATGCAGCTTCACTATGAGTAACATGTGCATTAGGAGCGTTGAGCTGTCAAGTCATCCATGTTCTCCGCTCATCGCAGGAACTGATGTCCTTCTCGTTACTCGTTAAACCCTGTGGTGGCTGGCAGGAGAGATTTGAAGGTATAGGTGGCCCAGCGATAAATGGGCTTGCGAGATGTTGGAAGAAGACGAAGGAGTATAAATAAAATAAAAGGTTAGTTAATGAAAACATGAATTTAACGAAAAAACTTTAAGCTAGTTGAATAATTTAACAATGCCATCATTAGTTGATTGAATATAAAATCCATGTGTCTCTTGCTGCTTGGAAAAACAAAAAAAGTGGTGCCGCCTCTTTGCTTCGAATCGAACCTTTAAGATATTTTAAAAGACATAGGAAGAATTTTTCCGCACAGAAAAACGGAAAAATAGCAATAATGAGGCCTTCAATTTAAGAAATTATCCACTAAATGAATTTTTCCAAAGAGAAATTATATTTCAAATAAAATATCTAATGAAGAAACTAATGTAAAGAATTATGAATCCATACGAAGAAGTATGACACTGCAAACTATCTCTCAATGTGTTCTCTGTTTTTTATCTTACAAAAATTAGGAAATTTGTCCAGAACTGGCGATTCGCTCTCTTTAAGTATAATTTTCAGAACATTCAACTGAATCGTATTTTCCTTGAGCTGATTTAAGCAAGTCGAAATAGATTGTTAAGAAATGGACTATCGCACTTATTACGATATAAATCTGTGGGATAGGCAAGAATTGTAATATGGAACGAATTGTGCTGGTAAGAAGAAAAATTCAACGTCCTTAAAAGTTTTCAGGAAGACTGAGCGAAAGAGAGAAATGCTATAAAATACTAAATGGCCGAAAAGTTTTTGATCTGAGTGGTGAAGTGGGTCAACGATTTCACTGCAGGTCGCTTGGATTTCCTCCAGACTATTCCGCTCATTCGAATTATCAAAGATTGCCAGTACCGACATAGCCCAGAAATCGATTATCGAGCACAATTTATGCTATATTTTATTCAAATAAAGCTGTAATTATCGTCAATATCATTTTTGTCGACTGATTCAAATTAGCTTAAAATTCTCGCTAATTCACTCTTTCGAATAATATAAAGGTCTGTAGAAATATCTATGAAAATTTTCATCAAGTAAAATCATTTTTCTGAAGTATTTATTCATAGATATGGAAGAATAAGTGCACGTTTATCATTTTCGGCTTGGCCCACTTACTGCTCTTTAGTGGGATGAGACCCTTCCGACAAATCACTTAGAGATAGAAATACCTGAAACTCCCCTTTTTAATGATAGGTTTAGTCTATGGGGGAAAGGAACTGAAAGAGTTGAAATAAGACACTTGAAACGGTGGTCGCAGCAACAACTGCTTCCGTATTTATTATTTTTCTTTTTTTCTTTATTTCATCCAAATCGCCAATGTACAAAATTACTGAAACATAAGATGTGCATCAAATTTTTAGAGTAAAAAGAATTCGGATCGCGAGTTTCTCCATTTTAAAACAATTTTCAATTGGCACTAAAACCTATTTATAAATTTTTTTTAATAATTAATAATTGATAATTGGAAAACGATAATCCAAATGAAAATTCCAATTAAAAATTCATTTAACTCAATTTAATTTAAAATTTAATTCATTTTATAAGATTAGAAAATTGGTGATTTTTTATTTTTAATTTGATTTGCTGGCATAGTTTGTCCAATTTTGCATCGAAAAATTTTCAACTGTCATTC